TCCAACTGAGCTACGCGGTCAGGATGGTTCGAGTAAGTGATATTTCGGAACAGAATCTAGTTCCTTCAATACCAATGTTTTCTAGTAATATGAATTTTGCTGTGTTGGTGTAGTGTACTCAGGTGAATATGATATTTGTGGTGTTACTCTGAGTGTATATCCAAGTAGAGAGTAACACCACAAATATCATATTCACCTGAGTACACTACACCAACACAGCAAAATTCATATTACTAGAAAACATTGGTATTGAAGGAACTAGATTCTGTTCCGAAATATCACTTACTCAAACCGTCCTGACCGCGTAGCTCAGTTGGAAGAGCATTGGGCTAGTATTCCAAAGGTCGTAGGTTCGAATCCCACCGTGGCCGGGCATGTTTTTCAAGTTCGCCCGGTGTGGATATACACTCAGAGTAACACCACAAATATCATATTCACCTGAGTACACTACACCAACACAGCAAAATTCATATTGATGAAAGTTTTATCTGGCTATAGTAATAGTACATTTATGATTTTATTACAGTTAACCGAACATGAATTATCGTTGGCATCAACTTTAGTAGACCCATTGACAATTTCTGTCAACTGGTCAGACATCGGAGGTCTGGATAGTGTAATTAAAGATCTAAAGGTTCATTGAAACTTTTTAAATTCATTTAATTCTTGCTATATTTTTCTATTTGTTTATTTAGCCAAAGCTTAATGTTTATTTTACTTCTATTTTTAGGAGACAGTTATTTTGCCAATGAGGCAAAAATCTTTATTTAGAAAATCTCATTTACTTTCAGCACCAAAAGGTAAAGATTAACCCTTTAAGTGGCAATGCGCCCAGATGCATCCTACTTTATTACTTTACTCTGTCTAACACCAGATGATTTTACTCATCAGGGGGAGACTGCTGCCGTTCAATGGGTTAATCTTTAAATTATTTATTAGAGTTAGATTATTTTAGATTCAGGATTTTAACATGAAAGCATGTTACTAAACTTGTTTAAATTTATAATATTATCGTTTGTGGAAACAGCATGTTATTTTTATATTTAATTGAAAAATTATAAATAAAAATTTTAAAAAAAATTTTAAAAATATATAAATAAATTAATATTTTATAAATAAAAATTAAATAAATTTATATTTTATTATAAATATAAATTTATATAAAAAAATTATATATTATTTATATTATATAATATATAATTTATATTTATAAAAATAAATTATATAAAAATAAATTTATATTTTATTTTTATTTTTTTTAAATTTTTATTAATTAAATTTATTTCATACTAGGCGTGTTATTATATGGACCTCCAGGATGTGGTAAAACAATGATTGCCAAGGCAACAGCCAAAACTGCAGGTTTTTGTTAAACTAAACTATATTATTGTACCAATTTTAAACTTCACTACTGCTGAGGATCTGACATTTATGGTTTATTTAAATTAAGGGTGTCGTTTTATCAATGTCCAAGTATCCTCTTTGACTGACAAATGGTATGGAGAATCACAGAAATTAGCTGCTGCACTTTTTACACTTGTAAGTCTTGAACAACGATCACATACCCGATCAGAAATGACCATGCTTTTTTAATTGGTTCCTTTAGCCCAATTTACACTACATTTTTTTACTTAAAAGCATGATAGGTTCACTCAATCTTCTGCCGTAGCCGTACTTTATATGTTCTGGTGCATTCCTAATGGTGATCTATTTGATTTTTCAGGCTAGGAAATTGGCTCCTTGTATAGTATTTATAGATGAAATAGGTATGTAGCAGATCTAAGATAACCCTCTGCTAATAATCCCGGTAATAGTCTGATTACATTTAAATCACAATTTTGCAGATTCGTTTCTAAGAAATCGTTCTCTTCACGACCACGAAGTCACAGCCATGGTCAAGGCCCAGTTTATGAATTTATGGGATGGTAGGTAGACTGTTACGAAAACGAGGCTGTGTATATATAGACCCATTGCACTGACGTCACAAATCCTTAGGGTGTCCTCCAGATGCTCCCTAACAATATCTGTTCGGGTACAACAACCACATACAGCGCAAACATTAACCATTTTAATACAAAATTATTATAAACTTTTACAAAATTTGCTTTGTTTACAAAGGTTATATTATGGCAATTGCTAGATAGTATACTTCAAAATGGGTGTATTGTAGCCGAAGTGACATACTTTCCGGAATTGTCTATTATGTAATTCTGTTAAGCTGCGAGGTAATTGGAATAAAACGCATTACTGATTTACTGCCGTACTTTCCTATACAGGTCTTGAAACAGATGACAATTCTCAAGTGATGATCATGGGTGCCACCAACAGACCCGAAGATGTCGATAAAGCTATACTGAGGAGAATGGTCGCTACATTTCATATCGGCTTACCTGTGAGTCCTTTGATACAGAATGACTGCTGCTTCCTGAAATAAATGAAAACAATTTTTGAAAGTCAATTTACTCATGAAAAGTTCGAGTCTCAAGTCTTGCTTATTATTTAATTAGTTAACCCTCTCAACATTTTGTTTTTACCCAAACACATTTTCTGTTCAACACATTTTTTTTGTCATTCTAGAATGCAAGTCAAAGGGAAGCTATTCTAAGGTTAATATTAGAAAAAGAAAAGGTCAGTAGTTTAAATGATGTTCTTAAAGTACTAAACGGTGTTATATAATAATTACAGTGAAACACGCAATTTGATTGGTCAATAGCCGTGCAGGATCAGGCTATCCTGCACGAAGAATTAAAATGCCTTCGCGGGATTTTCGCGAGATTCTCAAAATGTCATTGTTTCACTGTAGTTATTTTATAAAACAATTACCAAATGGTTTTCCAAGCAGGATAGCGTGATCCATGCACTTGGGATGTTGCTTGACTTTCGGAAAGCGTAAGAATACACTCGCCTGCGGCTCGAGTATTTTTACGCTTTCCGAAAGTCTCGCGACATTCCTCGTGCATGGGATCACGCAATCCTGCACGGAAAACCATTCGTTATTTCTTTATTACGACATTTATGTTGTATTTTATAGATTGAGGACGACTTAGATTATAGTCATATTGCAACTCTGACAGAAAGTTGCTCTGGTAGCGATTTGAAGGAAATATGTAAGTTTAGTTGAGAAAACTCTCATGCAAACTCTCGTCTCACCAAGGTTTTAATGAGTTCAACAAACCTCACTGACTTGTTCTTCCATCCATTCCAGGTCGTCACGCTGCGATGACATGTGTCAGGGAATATCTAGCCACCATTGAATGGTAGGTTAGGCTGTGTGGTAATCATACCATACCATGCATACCAGAAAATTAAACCACATCTTTCAATTCTATCCATTTGTCTCAAAATACAAGACTACTAACATACAATGAAAATAATTAATATTATTTTATGACTACGTTTTCCCTCGCTACTGTGGTTTATATAAATGAATACAAAGCCCAGTCGAATTGTAATGATTTGTATTCATTTATATAAACCAGAGTGGTGAGCGAAAACATGATTGATATAATGATTTTTTCTGTGTTGGTGTAATGTATTCAGGTGAATATGATGCTTGTGATGTTACTGTTAGTGTATATCCACACCGGACAAGCTTGAAAAATATGCCTGACCAAAGGTCGTATGTTCGATTCCCACCGTGATCAGGCATATTTTTCAAGCTTGCCCGCGGTGTGGATATACACTCAGAGTAACATCACAAGCATGATTGATATACCTGGTTGCGTGAACGAACAAACTTTGTCTTTAAATATTTTATGACGTATCATAAAAAATAATCCGCCATTTTGGGTAAAAATATTTTATTCAACCAATTACCACATAGCTGTGGACCATTTAACTCTTCAAAGTTCTCAAACAAAAGCAACAGCCACAATCTTGCTTTGTCGCCATGTTTGCGTTGAATTAAAAAAAAATTAATTTGCCACCAAAAATGGCCGAAGTCAACAAATACGATGGTTGTGACGTCGCTTCCAAGACACCAATACATGCACAAGGCTAATAATGTCTGTTGTATTTAAGTATTTTATTCTATCTTTTAGTGATGATGACTATGGAGATCTATCAAAAGTTACTGAAGATAATATTAGACGCATTAGCACAAAAGACGTTGAGAATTCTGTGCAGAAATGTAGACTGCAGTTTATGCATCATAAGTCCTGAATACAACTTTGAATTTTGATATGCCACACATAATATATTCTCTAAAAAACCTGGATATGTTGGGTATAGCAGTGGTAGTAGCGAAACAGGCAAATGGTCATGATATGCAAATAAAATAAACTCAGGGGCGTAGGCACCCGTAAACGAGGGTCTGACCTTCCTTTCCATGTCCGCCGGAAAATATTTTTAGGGTCTGCAAACCGTTATTTCATGTATTTTAGAAAAGTTTTATGATAATCTGAAAGACACAGATTTTGTATATTTTATGTCGTAGATGAAAACAGTAAGTTTCTTCTCAGTTTTGAAAGAATTACAAAATTGGTCTTGGAGAAAAGTAGGATGGGGGTCCGGACCTCCCATTCCCCGTGGCTACGCCTCTGAATAAACTGGTGCTAAGATAGTCTATAAGACAGTACATTCCTAAAGTTTGAATAATATTGATCACTATAAATTTACATAAAATGACCAGTTTGCTATACGGCTAGTTTCAGTATATTAGACACAAGTTTTGGTTAAAAACTGGGACTGGCTTCGAGTTTTTGCACAGATTAAATTGCAAGGTGGTCGAAGACTACAACTAGGATTTTAAATTGAATAAAGTTCAAATGTTTTCAGGAACTGATGGAATATGATAGTGGATATAGCTTAGTTTGATCAGTAAACATAGGCGTACAACACAGGGGGGGGGGGGGCAACTGCGCCCCCCTCCCAAACTTCAGAAATGTCTAGGCTATTACTATAGTCTATACTTATAATAATCATACAACTATAAAATATAAATACTAAATCACTCTTAGTCTTAGATTGGACTACAATGTAGTGTATGTGTACATGATAATCGAGGAAGCTTTCAACTTTAACCTATTTTGCAAATCACATAAGATTCTCAAGCCGCGTAAAAATCGGGAACACAGGTATTAGCCTTTTCCCAAAATAGATCACCGTGCATTCTGGGATCGTTTTGGAGGGACGAAATATATGGTGACAGGCGTCAAATATGTGAAAGAGTAGAAGTACCTACTATGAAATATCAACTTTTTAGACGACCAAAAATGAAATATCTCCTTTTTACATTGAACATTTAATTTGAATGTGTGCTGCCATATTTCCATATTGTCCCTCCAACATGGGATTCGCGCGACTAGACCAAGGATTTTGGGAAATGGCTAATTGGATAGCTTTTTTGGACACTCGGTCATTCACTCAATCACACAATTGGTTTTAGCATTGAATCACGCTATCCTATTACTTCTGTTGGTGAGCTAAACCGGTCGTTATCTTCTGCCAGAGATCCTTCTTCTTAGCAGTACTGCGTCTGACGTTCTGAAGCAGATCATTAAACAGCGTCATCCCTCCCGGCGCCATGCAGTACGCCCCTCGTGCGCGCATGATCAGCTCTACAAATTCCGGGTACTCGGACTTGGGGAGATTTTGTAAGTTCTGATGAACACACTGCGCGTAATTCATTAAACATTTCTGGACCATCGGACTGAGGCTAGACGATCGTAGATGGAATGCGATCTGGCTCGGGTTCGACTTTGCCAACAACCCCGCGGCTTCAAGGGATAGCTCGTGTAGAACAAACGGACTATGAATCGAATTGACACACACCCTACAAAATCTCTGCAAATCTGCAATACCAACTTTATTGGCAATGTGACATAACCAGTGTATATCGGCTTTGTGAGGCGGATTCTTTGCAAGCATCGTGTTAGGTTGATCGTTGACGGGCCGTCGTCCTAAGTTTTCTAGCGCCAGCATGCCCACGCGATAAGCGTTCACCAGCTGGTACGCCACTTGTTGTTGTCCCCTCCCCCCTTGGTACGCTTCGATCAAGTGCTGAACTTGTTGGGAAATTTGCTGTTGTACCAACTGTTCCGGGGTGGGGAGGGGGATGAAGAGCCCGTAGTTTCGGTTCTCACGGTAACCGTAGGGCGTGGCCTGCACGTGGTGGGATGGAGTGAAACCCATTCGGGCCATTTTCACGATGACTGGTTGAGGAGCTGGTTGGGGGCTGGGAGCGTGACGTGGCACGTGCGATTCCTCGTGGGAGTCACGCGTGTTGTGGGAGTCGCGCGTGTCGTGGGCCACGCGCTCTTCGTTATCTTCATTCGATCCACTCTCGGGTGAAACTCTTTCAGTGGTTTCCTGTGGTTGCGTTTGCTTATATAAATACTCCCAATGTTTGGCCACCTCGAAAAGCACTTCGGGATACACTCCACCGCCGTCGGCAGCAGACTCCACTGCCATACAAGCTTGCTCCAATAGTTCCGAGCCTCGCTCCTTACATTGACCGAGCGAACTCCGAATGTAACCCGGGTTCAATGTATGTGCCATGGAGAGGCAGGCCAGTGCGAGCTGAGCTGCTGTTTGTACGGTGACCTGGTCATTCGACTTGGACGCACGGTCCGCAATCGACGCCACCTCTGCTGGGGTCAAATGTTTGTCCCACTTCTCTAGTAAAATACTCAAAGCAGCATTTCCTAGTTCAAGGGCTTGTGTCGAGATCCACGACACATGTGCGGAATAGGTACGAGATAGCCAGTTAAAGCATGTTGTATTGTGCAGACCCAAGGCAAATAACCCTAACTCGAATGCACAAAGCTGTAAAGGACGGTTACAAATAGATTGAGTGACATTGGTCGTCGGTTCGGCTTGTCCGAATATTGAATTGGGTGAAGGCGTCACACCTCCTGCTAGCATTAGAACTTTCTTTGCGAGTTCAAAAGTAAAATGAGCCTCAGCTTCTAAAGATCTGTTGTCATGATATGATTTGCCTGTCTTTTTACCTCGCTTTGATTTACTATCACTTCGCCCATATTTGCCATAGCGTTTCTCACGATCGTCATTCTGAGCATTTTCATTGTCATTCTGAGCGCTGGGATTTGGACTGTCATTCCAGCCATCATCTTCAATCCAACCGTCGTCATCCTGAGCTATCCCATTTTCACTGTCATTTTGAGGTGAACAATTTTCGCTGTCATTCTGAGGTATACGATCTTCATTGTCGACATTCTGAGCGATGTTATTTTTTACATCATTTTGAGGGATGGAATCTTGACTGCCATTTTGCACTTCGATAGAATTTCGATCATTAGGGATATCAATGGGTAAGTTACTTGTACCCTCATGAAGATCACCACGTGATCCACTAAGGCTACCCTCTGCTCCGATCAGTCCACTATTACTCCTCTCCATTCTCACTTCTTCACCAGGAGAATGGTCACCGGGGATTTCACCCTCGCTGTAATCCTCCCGCGACGAACGTCCGACCGGGGCATGAGCATCGTTATCCGAGTCCCTACCACTGTCGCGAGCAGCTCTGAACTCGTCCCGGGGGGAGAGGTCATCAGACAGGCATGAACTCCACGAGCTCTGACGTGAACCGGAAGATGTGGATTTCGATGTCGTCGGCTTGTCCTCGTGTAAGGCTCGGGGATTGTCGTCATCGTCATTCGAGGACTGCCTTCAGAATAAAATTGATCACCAGTTAAGTTGCGGTAGTACAAGGTTATTAGCATTTCAAAATTTTGAGCAAAGGCTATTTTTCAAACGATTAGCAGTCTTCTACTGTGCGACTGACATCCATGAAATATCGAATTATCTTTAACCTGTCCCAAAACCTCTATCATTTATAAGGGAGACCCCCTTACTAGCCTATTTTTACTACAGGAGGAAACTGACTAACTGAAGTACTTGGAGAAAACCTGCAGTGTTTGGTAGAGTCAAACTGGAAGCACTCTTCTCACATGTGACTGAGGTGAAATTATAATCAGACAACTGCATATTGCAGGAATGAAACCTCAGTCAACGAGATGAAAGACACATTTTGTTTACTAAGTCCTTACTCCAGGTACATAAAAGTGCAGTCGCCTACCTTCTCCCTCGCTGACCAAAGCCCCCAGTACGTCGATTCTCGGCCGTTTTACCGCGAGCTTTTGTCTTCCTTCTCTGGTTGTTACTATTACGGCGGTTATTATTGAATTTAGCCTCCAATCCGTATCGCTTCCTGTCCAGCAGACACTCCTTGACTTGCTGTAGGTAAGTCGTGTTGTCTTTGGAGTAATCTAGCAAAGCCACTGCAAGTTCACCACGCTGACGTCTCATTCCTTCGCATAACATTGGATACTCTGTCTCGAGAATGTCTGCCTTCATATCTAAGAGGAATGTTTTCTTGTTAGACCTAGTATTACTGCAGGAGGAAACCTAAACTAAACTACCTTCATTTGTACCAGATAGCTCCATCAGTTGTAAACTGTTCTTCCTGGAGGTCCAGTAAGAGTCATCTCTTATTGATCCAGTGTTACTACAGGAGACCTAAATTAACCTGTCCAACAGGCTGTTATACAGATCAGGTCAATCAGTTGAAAACTCGTCACATTAACTACAGGAGGAAATCATTAATATAGGCATACTTAAAGCGGTGAGTCCAGTTTTAAATCCCAACTCCTTATCCTCGTCCGATGTCGCGCTGGTCTTGGTCAAAACTTGAAATAAGAATATCGCCAATTTGATAGGTAGAACAGCCTGGCCTCGTTCCAGCTTCCCTTGACACAATAATTTGGCTCGCTCTCGCACGACGGCCAACTCCGCTGGCCCAAGTGGTAACTTGTTCAAAAGGCCAACCAGCTCAGTTTCCTGGTTGGCTAATTTCACCTAAACACACAGTAAGAAGACGTTTTAGTTGACATCTGCACACGTAAGTAAGCACAAGTTATAACAAATCTGCAGCAGACTTGCAGAAATGTTGTTCCAACAACTTGTGAACAGGATGTGTTAGCACTGCTTGTTCCCAGCTTGTTGACAACGTGTCAACGGCTTGTTGACAGCTTGCTACAACGTTGTTGAGCTCAACAGACTTGTTACAAGTTGTTCCAACGACTTGTTATCGTCCTGCAATTCAACAACTTGTCAACAAGTTGCGAGTGACAACCTTGCAGCAACTTGATAAAATAACAGCATTGTTACAACTTGTTGACAAACTTGCTACAAGCTTGTTGCGAACACATCTTGTTGACAAATTGTGAGATTTTTACGTGTGCAGATCTAGGCCGAAGGTGAATACAATTACATCCTCACTGTATAATGTACAACTCACGATCACCACTAACCTCTAAAGCTTTACTTCTTGCAGGTCTCCGGAGGACTTCTAACCCATGGAGTCCAATCCTGAAAGCTAAATGATGCTTGCTAGAATCCTGGCATAAAACACTACACAAAAACGTAGTTTGTACTACTGACGTTTTGATAAAACATCTTGCATCTTCAGCATGTCTTTCCTCGTTGTCTGCACCTTCCTGCACTTGGCTAGCTTCAGTAAGAATCTTCTCTGCAACCAGTTCAGCGATCTCACTTCCTTCTGGGTAACCATGTACCTAGACGATAGAGGATATAGATAATTTCTGATCTAAACTAACTTTATTTATACTGGATAGCTCCAGCAGTTCCAAACTGTCGTCCCTAAAGGTCTGGTAAGGATTGTTACTACAGGAGGAAACTTAAACAAAACTAACTCTATTTATACTGGATAACTCTATCAGTTCTAAACTGTTCTCTCTAGAGGTCCAGTAAGGATCATCTCTTATTGATCCAGCGTTACTACAGGAGGAAACTTAAACTAAACTAACTTTATTTATACTGGATAGCTCTATCAGTTCTACTGTAAACTGTTCTCTCTAGAGGTCCAGTAAGATTCATCTCCTATTGATCCAGTGTTACTACAGGAGGAAACTTAAACTAAACTAACTTTATTTGTACTGGATAGCTCTATCAGTTCTAAACTGTTCTTCCTAAAGGTCCAGTAAGGATCATCTCTTATTGATCCAGTGTTACTACAGGAGGAAACCTAAACTAAACTAACTTTATTTATACTGGATAGCTCTATCAGTTCTAAACTATTCTTCCTAAAGGTTCAGTAAGGATTATTACCTGCAGTGCTTCAGCTCTGGTGCACAGCGTGTGGATATCTTCATTGAGATCTTCAACGCGTTTTGTTTCAACATCGGCATTTGACGTATGACCACTGATCTCTTGCGACAACATTTGATCTTGACTGTTCTGGATTGACGGAAGCAAGATTAGAGACCAGTCTATCGAGCAGGCTTCAATTGCGATTTTAAAGCCAGGAAAGTTTTCAATAGCTCGGCCAAACGCGAAAACGTGCTTGCCCATATAACGTGCTGTAATACGAAGAAATTATTAATTAGGAATGAAGGATGGAAGGGAGATGGGAAGGGAGACGGGAAAGGAGGGAGGGGGTAGAGGGAGGAAGGTGGGGGACAGAGGGAGGAAGGTGGGGGACAGAGGGAGGAAGGAAGGCAGAGGGGAGGGGAGAGAGGAAGAAAGGGAAGGAGAGGAGTAGGAAGGCAGGGGGCAGAGGGAGGAAGAAGAAAGGGAGGAAGAAGAAAGGAAGGCAAAGAAAGGAGAGAGGAGGGAGGGATGGGGAGAAGGGAGGGATGAGAGGAAAATGAAGGGGTGGGGAAAGGGAGGGGCAAAGGGAAGAAGCAATGAAGGGATGAAAGTTAGAAAGGGAGGAAGGAGCACATTACATATTAAGAGGATGTATGAAGACAGAAAATATGAAACAGGATACAGAAACAGATGTCCGGAACATAAGAAATATTTACCATTTTTTGCTTTTTCTATCGCCTTGTTATGGCATTGTTCCAGCCTTTCCTTCAACCTCTTTCTTTCGGCACTACTCAACACTGGATCCAAACATGCCAGGCGCCACAATACGACCAGCTCATCACAAAAACTAGCACATGCGTGCTTTGTCATCTCCGTACTTGCCGTATTAATATTACTCTTGTAGTTATTGTTCTTTTTAAACGACTGATGGCCTCTTCCGATCTCTGGCTACGACTGTTGAACCACCAGATGACAATTTGTTCAAATGACAAACACTCTTGTGTCAGCAGCTGCAAAAGCTCGATAGCATTCGGGTCCCGGTGTTGAAATAGCTCTCGTACAATAGACAGCAGATTCCACATGCCTTCTGGGTCATGAGTTGTTAGCGGTCTCAGGAGATTTGACCTGAAAGGTTCAAAGATAACTACATTCATATCATGAGACCAAACACATTGAGGATTGTGTCTATTCAATCAGTTATGCTTGTGTTGCTGACTATCTGCCCATGCACCCTGTTAACCCTTTAAGTGCCCAGATGTGCTCTACTTTATTATTTTACTCTGTCTAACGCCAGACGATTTTACTCGTCAGGGGGAGAGTGCTACCACTCACACTGTGCCCTAATGAGCCCAACTTTATTATTTTCCTCTGTTTAATGCCAGACTCTTCAAGGGATGAATGCTGGCACTCAATGGATTAATCTAACTATCTCCATGCTCCTAGTTAACCCATTTGTTGCATTGCACCCTAATGTGCCCTACTTTATTATTTTACTCTGTCTAGCACCAGACAATTTTACTCATCAAGGGAAGAGGCACTAAAGGGATTAATTTTTTTATCAATGGTAGCAATTTTAAACAATAATCTGATTCATTAAAAATGTTTGGTCAAGGTTCAATAAATGAAGAACCCTAAAAATAAATGTTCAGCATGCAATTACAGTCAAACCTGATGTTCCACGATATTGCAATTTTGATAGGCAGATATTTGCTCTGAGCAATTTGCAACTGCCGCAAACAAATTGCAAGTTGAAATTCACAAAAGATTTGTAAACAAAGTCTCTGATTGGATTATAACAAAGAGGGAAGCGCCAATCCAGTTGCTCAGACTATTTGATTGGCTTCCTTTTTGCTAATAGTCCAATCAGAGGCTTTGTTTACAAATCTTTCGTGAATTTCAACTTGCAATTTGTTCGTGTCGGTTGCAAATTGCTCAGAGCAATCTACCTATCAAAATTGCAATATTGTGGGACAATATTGCAATGTTGCTCGCAAAGGAACATCCGTTTTGGCTGTAACTGGCCAGAATGGCTGTACATACTGACATTTCAATGCTTTTTTCCAGTAGAACCACTCGTGGACTCACCATTCGGCAGCAGTGGGTGGCGCTGTTGATGCAAACTGCAAGTTATATGCTTCTTCCAAAACGTATGGTCCAGGCCCACAGAATTTTGACAACATCTTTCTAACGTTATCACGAAGAGCTTTCTCATCCATCCACCATTGGTTCTTATCCTCTGCAGATGGGCCGGCCGTTGGATCTAGAATTTTAACGACACAATGTCACCAGCTGTAAATAATTTACAGACCGCCACAGACAACAATTAGAAGACATTAGATTGTGCTGATTTTACCTGGTGCCCCTACAACAGTGTTGATCTCCGAATCATTGGACAGAAGCAATTCATCCAGGAGTTTTTGAGCATAAGGCAACAACTGAAATACATTACAATCGTAAGAACAGTTTAGAAGTGATAGAGCTATCCAGTATAAATAAAGTTAGTTTAGTTTAATTTTCCTCCTGTAGTAACACTGGATCAATAAGAGATGATCCTTACTGGACCTCAGGGAGAACAGTTTAGAACTGATAGAACTATCCAGTAAAAATAAAGTTAGTTTAGTTTAGGTTTCCTCCTGTAGTAATGATGGATCAATAAGAGATGATCCTTAATGAATCTCTGGGAAGAACAGTTTAGAACTGATAGAACAATATCCAGCATACTTATACCTGTTGAGGAAGCTCGGTAATCAAGTACTGTGAAAACTTCTGCAGTTGACTCCGCTGCAACCTTGATAGAGACTCGGAAACAGGCGGCCGCAATCCTACTGACTGAGATTGGTATATTCTGTGCAAACATAGAGCCACAATGTGACAACACCATGCGGCTGACGGACTACAAGTACACATGCAGGACGTCACATGACCTCGGTCAAATACCACGGCAGGTTTATGCGAGCGCACTTGTTCGACGTTGGTATTCGCCACTACCATTCCATGGTTATAAGGTAAGACACTACCATTCAAATGAAATCCTGAAAATTGTAAATATTAGTGGTTAAAAGTTGCCCCTACTTTTGCCGCAAAACATATATAACCTTTCATATTAAAAACAAAACATATATAACCCTTTTCAAGCCCAATACAAACCTATTTGCAACGGTTGTACGACAGCTTTGGCGCGATACAGTTGCTCCCCTTTCGAAAATTCCTCCGAAGATCCGTTCGCCAGACACGAATACAAGCGTATATTATCGTCACTTCGTGGAAAAGACCAAAAAGCAATTCGCAACTGCAACTGTTCTGGTAAATTTGGACAGCATTTCTCGACAGTTTCAAACGAAACAGACACGGCTACGACCTTAGAGCAAAGTTCCATTAAACTTTCGACGTTTGGCTGGCTGTTTTTCGACGGGAAAGGATCGCTGTTCACAACACTTCGTTTCCAACCGCGCCAGTCACCGCAAATACTTTCAGGGTCTGAAACCCATGAACATAAAGACATTTCGTCAAATCTGTCGCTGTCTTCAAACGAGAACGTTCCATCGTTGTTCTCTCCAGAGTCCGAGTGCGTATCTACTTCCATTTTCTCGTGAAAAATCACAAAAAACTTTTCATGAAAACATGTCTGACATTCTTCCACTGTCTGGTTTTAATAGTGGTTTTCGTTCTCGTTCCCAGGGCGAACGACGGAACGAGCGAAGAGAAATACTGTAAATAATTCATTTATACCAACGAGAATGGAATTCATAGTTATTCATAACGTTTCATTATTTCTTTCATTCACTCATTCTTCTTTCTTCATCTTCCGTTCATTCCTTCAGTCCCATCCTCCCCCCTTCCCCCTCCACGCCTCCCCCCCCCCCAACCTCGCCTTCCTCCACCTCCCTCCCTCATCCAGCCTCCTCCTTTCCCTGCAACTCTCCTTTCTTCTTTCTCTCGCTGGCCCCCTCCTCCCTTCCTTCCTTCTCTCGCTTCTTCTTCCCCCCTCCCTCCCTTTCCCCTGCTCCTATTCTGTGCCCCTGCCTGCCTGCCTTCCTTCCTTCCTTCCTTCCTTCCTTCTTCGATCCTTCCAACATTAATAATTTATAACACAATTAATATTGATGTAAATTGTAAAACATTAACCAAACACAATCGGTTCAATGACTATATAAACTTGAAACAGACACTCAGTTGCTAAGCGATAGAGCTTCTTTGTATACAAAATCCTAACCACAAACAGATTATGAAAAAAACACATTTGAAATCGCGCTTATAAAAGCAAAACACTTACTTAGAAACTTACCATTTCACTCATGGCTACAGCTAATTTGCCGGCAATTTCGCATCCTTTATCGCGTCTGGGAAGCCCCGAAAAAATTACAGTTCGCGGTGTGTCGCGTGGCGAAGGGGCAAGCTCGCAAATTCAAAATGAACTCAAAAAAGTCAGCCAGCTTCGTCCGATCACGGCAGACCAAATGCCTTGGAGACTTACGAAATCATCTTCTGGATCGCGAGGTTTTCCAAAGGAAACTAGCCTACCGGCTTTGGGTTCCGTACCCGAAGGAATCGAAGTCAAGAAAGCAAGTGATCAATTCAAACCAGCTATTCCAATATTTGGTAAGTGTACATTTCACTACGTTTGCGTCATGTAAATATTTGAAGTCAGGGGACATGTATATTTGATATCTATATATCTATAAAATTAACTTTATTTATACTAGATAGCTCTATCAGTTCTAAGCTGTTCTCCCTAGAGGTATAGTGAGCTCCTTCCCTATACAAGAGGTTTATAATAGTCTATATGGTTACTTATTTTGAGTACCCGAAGAAAACCAGTGGTGTTTGGTAGAGTCGAACTGGAAGCACTCTTCCCACATGTCAGTGAGATAAAAAACTGATGTTTTTATTTCCATGATCAGGAAATCGTGCGGACCTTGCAAGCCGAGCCGAGAGCCGTCAGTCGAGACTAAATACAGCTGCTTCTTATGAGAAACCAGTTGTTGACGAGGTCTGTAGAATATTACTTTCTGCTTGACATTGTTAGTGTGGGTTATTATTTTATGATCTATAATAGTTTATTCATTGGTTTTCAGCTGGAGGCGATAATAAGAGAAAAATTAAAGTCAGCGTATTATTCGGTCAAGCAAGCATTCAAACAGTACGACCCTGAGGGACGAGGAATAATTACAAGGTTAAGATTAACTGTTGTCACCTGCGCCATCATTACCACCATGATCATCATTACTATCATCTGACCGTCATCATCATCATCACCACCATCATCACCACCATGCATCATCACCATGCATCATCACCATCATCACCACTGACCATAATCACCATGCAAGCATCACCACCATCACAATTGACCATCATCACCATGCATCGTCACCATGCATCATCACCATCACCACTGACCATCGCCCCCATGCATCATCACCATGCACCAACCATCATCACCATCACCCTGATCACCATCACCACTGACCATCATCACCACTGGCCATCACCACTGACCATCATCACTGACCATCATCACAACTGACCATGATCATCACCACTGACCACCATCACCACTGGCCATCACCACTGACCATCACCACTGACCATCACCACAACTGACCATGATCATCACCACTGACCACCATCACCACTGACATGGCCACCATCACCACTGACCACCATCACCACTGACCATCATCACCACTGACCACCATCACCACTGACCACCATCACCACTGACCACCATCACCACTGACCACCATCACCAATGACCACAATCACCACTGACCATCATCACCACTGACCATCATCATCATGCACCACCAACCATCATCACCATCAGGGTGATCACCATCACCACTGACCATCATCATCACCCCTGATCATCATCATCACCACTGATCATCATCACCACTGATCATCATCACCACTGACCGTCATTACCACTGACCATCATCACCTGATCACCATCATTTATACCACTGACCATCACCACCATCACCACTGACCATCATCACTGTGACTGTGCATCACCACCATGTCTTCTAACATAAATATATTTCTTCCAGGGAATCATTAGTCAAAATCCTCAGTAGTATTGTTGGTAGAAATATAAGCTTGAGTCAATTTAATCGTCTCATGATCAGGTAATTGAACTATTTATGCCAGCTGCAACCCCATTTTCAGATAACCTACATGCCTTATTAAGTAACTTTTCATCCTTGGTCGTTTATGGAAACTTAGTGTAAAACTTTATTTCCGTTCCTATATAGACTTGGCTTGGACACAAAGAAGACGATTTCTTTTGAAGAATTTTATTCATCATTTGCTAGGCCACTAAAGGTATGGATAACCCTATCAGTTCTGGTTTCCCCCTATAAAAGTGATACCTGATTAATGCAGTCTTTCTACAGGAGGAAACCTAAACTAAACAATCTAAACTAAACGTTATTTATACAAGATAGCTCTACCAGTTCTAACGTATTCTCTCTAGAAGTTCAGTAGGCACCATGCATCATTTATTAAACAAGTGTTACTACAGGAGGAAATGGAAGTACCCAGAGAAAACCCGTTTGTTGAAACATACAATGAGGAGAAATTGTTCTACCAGACAACTGAGTCACTCACTCGGCAGTCAGTGGTTAACAAATTATGGTCAAAGTAAATCTTTTCTCAAACAGAAAGATGGAATACCTGAATGGTTTGAGCAACAAACGAAAACAGTTCACTACTTGTCAGCAGCTCAAGTGCATGTACAGTTGAAAGAGAAAGCCAAGCAAAGGTAATCTATTTTTCGCCTATACATGATCTATCAGTTCTAAACTGTTCTGCCTAAATGGCAAGTCCATTAGGCTTGCTGTGTTCGGTGAAACCCACCTGTCTACCTTAACGTTAAATTTTTCGCAGATTTTTGGATTTGGCTGATCTTATACCACAAATGAATCCAGGAGGCAGCGGTCGGATTTTGAAACCTGAACTCCAGAACGCTTTGAACAAACACGGCTTCGCTATGGAAGAGTCGGAATACGATAAACTTTGGCAAAAATATGATACTGAAAACATCGGGGTTATAAAAGGTAAATAAAGCAATCAGCCATAGGTGAGAGGGGCAGATACAGGGGACTGCATTTATCTAGTATACGTAATGTAATTTGTTCTGGGATCACCGACCAGTTCATTTATTTATACCAAATTTGCGAAAACATGTCTGATATTATATCTAGGTGAAAAGCTATTACACAAACTTGGCATTAGCTTAAAAACCAACGGCGAAAAAACGGAAATTGGAACAGAGAAAGAAGAAACAAGATCGCCTCGCAGGCTGGAATCTGAGCGGCTTCACTCGCTCGATGTTGAACGTTGGTTAAAAAAGAAATTTAGGGAAAGCTGTTCGGAAATGAAACATGCATTTCAGGAGTTAGATCTCGACAGAACCGGAAGAGTAACGAAAGATGAGTTTAGGAAGGTTTTGAAAGAGTTCGGTTTGAAATTGAGTTCTGATAAACAAGTGGAAGACTTCTTAGCAAGGTTCGTTTGAATGAAACGATAGCGATCGTTATCACTACAATTATCATCATCAGCACCATCTTCGTTATCATCATCATTTTAGTACCATTATCATCACCATGATCATAATCACCACCGCGATGCACTACCATAAATCACCAGATGTATAGGTACTATCGTCACATTATCACCTTCATCATCATCATCATCATCATCATCATCATCATCATCATCATCATCATCGTCACCACTATCATTACCATCCATTACAACTACATGCCATCACTATCATAATCATCACCATCATCATGACCATCATGATCACCATCATAGCTACCACCACTATCATCATCACCATCACCATCATGACCACGATAATCACCGTCACCTTTACCATCATAATCTTTACCAAGCACTCTTCTCATATGTGAATGAGGTGAAATTTTAACCAAACAAATGCACATTGCAGGAATCAAACTTCACATGTGAAAGCCACATCTCAAATTAACACCATGTACTTTAATTTGACACAATTTCCAGATGTGGCGTTGAGTTTGAAGGCAAGGTCCCTTACAAAGAATTTCTGCGACGTTTTCAAGATCGAAGTGAAAAGGGAATTGCGCACAAAATTTTGGCAAATCCATTGCACAGGTGAGTTGTATATGTCTGCCAATAAAATAGTATGGTATCGTAACATGGTAAGCACTATGGTACATGATGATGTTTGATGCGACTTTTTAGATACCATCAAACGGAAGTTGATAGCAAGTATTCGACTACGTCAGCTGTGGAGGCAAAGTTAATGGACATGTTTCAAAAAGATTTCTTATCTCTTCTTGGGACACTTCAGTAAGTTTAAGAAAACAAATTATATTTATACTGGACAGCTCTATCAGTTCTAAACTGTTGTCTCTAGAGGTCCAGTTAGGATCATCTCTTGTCCAGGACACCAAAGCACACTGGAAAAAAACTAAAACGGAAATACTCCTCTCACGTTTGTTTAGCAAAATAGATCGAAATGGGGAAGGTTCGGTGAGTCAGGAGCAGTTTCGAGCAGCCATTGAAAGTCGTTTTGAGCTCGGGATGTCTGATGAGGCGTGGGAACAGTTTCTGAGTAGTGTACCACTAGACAGTGACGGAATGGTACTGTATGTCCAGTTTATGTCGCGCTTTGATACAAAGTAAGTCCTGGAAATTTCTTCTGACAAACCTATTGGTCCAGTATGACCTTGCATCTGTTTGTGGTCCAGTGTAGTACTACGTCTAATTTATGATTTTTATCATCCAGAGAACAAGTGTCTCTTTTCGACGGCAAGTCGACAGTTCCGGAAAGAAAGTATATCCCGAGTGATTCGCCCCCGAAGTCGCCCCGTATTCGTCCTGTGAGGTCTGTTGAAAGCACGGTGAATGACGAGGGAAGACCCGTGGAGGAAATGAGACGAATAATTAGGAAGGTTTTAAATGATAATCTTTCACAAGTGCAAGAGGTACGGTTTGATTGTTGTTATATTTGGCGTATTCTGTGCGTTATCGTTGATTATTTTATATAAGTATCCGACAGAGTAACTACCGCAACAATCTAGTATCATCACCATCCACCATTACCATTACAACCATCATTATTACCACCATCATCACCATTACCACCATCATCACCATTACCACTATCATCACAATTGACCATCCTCATCACCATTAAATCCACCACCATTACAACCATCATCATTACCACCATTAACCATCCTCATCACCATTACCACCATCATCACCATTACCACCATCATCACCATTACCACCATCATCACAATCGTTGATTCTCCCCCATTCTTTCCATAGGAATTCTACGACATTGATGAATTCAACAGTAAACGGCTTACCCAAGAAATGTTCTCAAGACTAATGAAACGGTAATCAATATGTAAATTCATGCGTAGTGGTCCAGTGTTCTGAACTACCCCTGCTGTAAGATGCTGTGGTTTGTGTCTGAACTACCCGAACATTCTTTTTAGATTTGGAATAGAGTTCAGTTCCAACGAGGTTAAACGTCTCTGGAATACGTTACTCACAGACCAGAAACGAATGCTAGAATTTACGCAGTTTGTTCGACATTTTGGATGCAGCTCTGCTCCACAAGGTGAGCTTTTGAGTCAGGAAAGATTATGCATGACTCTTACAGGACTCTGAAGAACGGTTTAGACTGACAGAGCTATCCAGTATAAGTAAAGTTAGTTTAGTGTAGGTTTCCTCCTGTAGTAACACTGGATCAATAATTAAGAGATGACTCTTACTGGACCTCTAGGAAGAACAGTTTAGAACTGATAGAGCTATCCAGTATAAATAAAGTTAGTTTAGTTTACGTTTCCGCCTGTAGTAACATTGGATCAATAAGAATGGACTCTTACTGAACCTCTAGGAAGAACGGTTTAGAACTGATAGAGCTATCCATATGAATAAACTTTAAGTTAGTTTAGTTCAGGTTTCCTCCTGTAGTAACATTATATCAATAAGAGGATCCTTACTGGACCTCTAGGGAGAACAGTTAGTTTAGAACTGATAGAGCTATCCAGTTTCAATAAAGTCAGTTTATAAATTAATAAATTTACAGTAATAATTGCAGTAATAAATTTAAATTTACGTGGTGTTTCCACAAACAAAACTATTATATATTTAATCGCCATGCAATCATACAAAGAACTTATAAAGTCAGTTTAGTTTTACTCCTGTAGGATCAATAAGAGATGACCTAACTGGGCCTCTAGTAGGAATAGTTTAGAACTTTTGCCAATCCTCGTATATTTTAAACCCTAGCCTACCCAAATGCGAAGATCTCGCCTCCCAAGCGTGGCGACAGTGACTTCATGATGCGATCAAATAAACTAAACAGCGCTGTAGATATGCTCTATGATCAACTGAGGTCGAAAGTTGACTTGAATTGGGAGAGATTGCAAATGGAGTTTAAGTCTTTGGATCCTGGTGGATCTGGTTATGCTGGTAAAGAAGAGTTCAAGGTAAGATGGTGATGATGGTCGCGATGATGGTGGTAATGATGATGATATTGGTGATGATGGTACTGGTGATGATGGTGGTAATGATGATGGTATTGGTGATGATGGAACTGGTGATGATGGTGGTAATGATGATGGTATTGGTGATGATGGTACTGGTGATGATGGTGGTAATGATGATGGTATTGGTGATGATGGAACTGGTGATGATGGTGGTAATGATGATGGTATTGGTGATGATGGTACTGGTGATGATGGTGGTAATGATGATGGTATTGGTGATGATGGAACTGGTGATGATGGTGGTAATGATGATGGTATTGGTGATGATGGTACTGGTGATGATGGTGGTAATGATGATGGTATTGGTGATGATGGAACTGGTGATGATGGTGGTAATGATGATGGTATTGGTGATGATGGTACTGGTGATGATGGTGGTAATGATGATGGTATTGGTGATGATGGAACTGGTGATGATGGTGGTAATGATGATGGTATTGGTGATGATGGTACTGGTGATGATGGTGGTAATGATGATGGTATTGGTGATGATGGAACTGGTGATGATGGTGGTAATGATGATGGTATTGGTGATGATGGTACTGGTGATGATGGTGGTAATGATGATGGTATTGGTGATGATGGAACTGGTGATGATGGTGGT